CTACCTGCCGCTGCCCGACGCGGCGGCGCCCGACGCGCAGGCCGACCGGCTCACCGTCTACCTGGTGGTGGCGCTGGCCGCCGTGTCGTCGCTCTTCCTCCTGTCTGCGCTGGCCTTCGTGGCGGCGCGTGTGTGCGCGAGGAGCGGGGCGGCGGCGCGGGGAGGCTCGCCAGGGCCCGAAGGCCACTTCCCGGGCCACCTGGTGGACGTCAGCGGCGCCGGGACGCTGTCCCACAGCTACCAGTATGAGGTGTGTCTTTCGGGGGACGCTAGGACCGATGAGTTCAAGTTCCTTAAACCTGTCATCCCCAACCACCCAGCCCAGGGCACTGAAATGGAGGAAAGTAACGCCTTTCTGAATACCCTTGGGTTTAATTAAGGATCTGATTAAGATGCAGAAGTTTTATGTATAGTACTACTACTTTGTGAAAATATATGAATTGTAATGTGTGGTTCTTTGAAGGTATTATTTTACTTAAGAGTTTCAGAAAATCAACCTTCTAAGTTTATTTTCTGTTCTTTTTGTTAACTGTGGGGAAATTATAGGAGCTAGGATTTACTTTGTTTTTCTTCCAAAAAGCAACCTCACAGAATTTGTCCAATTTACTGTATTTTCCCTTCAAACTTTATTGTTTGGAGTTATATTCTTTGAGTGGTCTGTGTTTTAGCACAATTTTTATGTTGAATAGTATTATAGATGAAAATGCAATGTATTAATAAAATATATTTGCTTTATCATCTAGTTAGGTTTGCTTTTGATATCTTTTAGACTTATTTTTCAGTCTGTCTCCTCTACCTTTCTGCCAAATATTTTAGAATTTTTTCCTCATTGAATTATTTTTCATCTTAACTATTTTGTGAAATGTATATCTTATTGGTAGATGTTGTTTTAAACTATGTTTTAATCTTGTTTGTATTAAGATATATATACCTACTTAGAAAACTGTATCTATATATCCAATATACACATTTCTAAGAATCTCCAGATACTACTTGAGAAGCAATCACTGAGATGTTTATTTTACTTTTCTTTACCTCCCTGGCCATTTTTGATTGGTTGAGTGATTCACTGCCCATTAAAACAGGAATAGATCTAATTCCTGTATTTACAATTAAGATGTAGTTCGTTTACTTCCCCTTGACTGTTTGTTAGTAAGAAATAAACATTAAGCATGGGTTGTGTTGCATAAGTTGGCAATACAAAAAGGCATATGGAGAGGAACAAAAGCAGAAAGGAAGGAAAGAAAAGAGTAAAACTGATATGTAATAAAGGAGTGAAAGAGGCAAGAAACTCAAGACTTAAACAACTACGTGGTTCTAGTCCCGTCAGTTCTTGATTCCAATGTACTATCTAACCAAACTTAAGTTCTACCTTTCTATAGAAAGACAACAGTTTCCTAATAATAAACTTGTTTAATCTATCTTGAAGAAACCAATGAGACAGGAAAGATGTAGTCTTGAGAACTCAAATTAGACTATTCACTAGGAAGCCCTAGTCTTCCAATGCATGCTTCTAAGAACTTGTTAATGGAATAAAAAATGTACAAGCTTAGAAATACTCATCCATATTATAGCTACACTAGAGAATTTTATTATAAAATTTAGTTTTGGGAATAAAGTTATGATTTATTTCAACAGAAAGTGCTACAGACACTTTTATGCACCTCAGTTCTTAAAAGTAACACTGGATTATTACTGTGTTTGTATCTCTACCTTTTCTCAGGATCATCATGCCTTCTCTAGCACCCATTTCTCTTAAAAATTATTTACTGAGTTCACTGTGAACAGAATTATTACTTAATGTAAAACTTTGCGAATCTATGAACATCCAATTTATAGATCATATGCATTGATTCATGAGTTTATTAATGTAACAAATATTGTATTGGCACAATTTATTATTAGAAACTTGATGAAAATATTTCAAGTTTCCTGCCAAGTTTATATGGCCATAAAAATTTTTCTCTATAGAAAATTTACCTGAGAGATAACAGATGGGAATGAAAAATAAATTTTGACCTATTCATTTACTAATATAGGTACCAACATCTATTTATTTATTATAAAAATTCATGGACATTAGGTCATAGTTTCTTGAACATTTAATTTCATAATAAAGAGTTTGGATCAATGACAATAACTTTCTATGTAAAAAGATATCACATTTTAACTGTGATCAGCATGTTCTGATGTTTTGAAAGTTTACCTAATCATATTTGTTTCATCATATAGAAGAAAACATTCTAGAATAGAGTATCAATCTGAGTAATCTGTGCCTTCATAGACTTTAATCAATATGTAACACTATTTTTACTCTTGACCCATTTTCCCAGTTGGGTCTACTCAATTTTCCCAGTTGTCCAGATAATGGAGAGCCACAATACACGATACTAAGATAAAACATTATTATTAAACTATCTACTCAATTTTGGTGCAATTGGGGACACATCCCTTACGCCAAGAATTTTTCTCATCTTTAGTAATAAAAGACCTTTAGTTCCATTGTAAGGTGCAGGGTTGCAGGCTATCCAGAAGAGAGAGTTGCTTGCTAAAATGAGCTCTGATTTTCCTACTTAGAAATAACTTTATCTTGTTTCAGATGACTTTATTTTTCATTACACTATAGTTTTCATTTGGCTCTTTATCTTTGTGATCTTGACTACCCCATTTTTCAATATCTTAGTGATCTCAGTTTCAACAGGTATATGTCTTAGTTTTAGTAATAAATGCAGATTGTCCTTACAAACTGTTTTTGGATAAGTACACAAGTCAATATAACATGTTCAGAGAGGTATAGAAATGTTCTCCCTGGTATTTACCTGTAACCCCTCAAAATTTATTAAGTTTGCATAATAAACCAGTTCTAGCGAGTCTCTCACTTTATCTTATACTCCTGAAACATGTGAATGAATCTCTTCATCTACTGTGCTAGTAGTGAGATAACAGTTTAACTGTGTATGTTATTTCTATTGGAAAACAGTGAAAACTTATCTTTGTCTACTGTTTCCCTACAGAACCCAGGCTATACAAGTCAGTAGACATTTTGTTGTAAATGCTATGATGTCAGAGAAGGAATTTGTATTTTCAGCATTTAGTACAGTGCCTGATGTATAAAATCAGTACTTGTTGAATATGCAAATATATATAATTAACTTTGTTCTTTCATCATTTCCCAAAGTATCAAGCACCTCTTCCGTCCTGTAATCTCACAGGAATATATGAGTTAACATTTTTATTTAAAAACAACCCTATACAAATAAAATAAAATAAAATAGCAAAAAAAACCCCACAACCCTAAAATTCACACAGTCTGTGAATTTTTTTATGAAAAATCTAAGTGAAATACACTTGGTAGCATTTTCAGGAAATAAGCTTATGTGTAAAACATGGTGATGCGCTGTAAGCTAAGGCTTCAAAAAAGAAACCTGGGGATGGTTACTGTTCTGGCAGTCACAACAGATCATTGGAAGAGTAGAGGCTTCTTAAAGGACTTACCTTTCCGCAAGGCTGACTTGCAAAGCAGACTCAACAAAACCAACAGAGGCACCCAGAGCCTAAAAACTTCTGATGTTGGATAAATGAAGGCTGCAGAGGACCAGACTAAGGCAAGTTCTCATCTTTGTTTTGCTGGCTCACCCTTGAGGGAAACAGGAAGCTTATAGTATCTCGAAGAGACAGAGTGTGGTACTTTGTGGCCAATCTAGCAAAAGACACAGAGTTAGTAGTTAGAGTGCTGTCTTGGTGGAGGGCTTGGATCATTCTTAACAATAACAAAAAATATTTTCAGTTGAACCTTCAGACTGGAGATTTACAAGTAAATGAGAAACTGTATTGGGAAGAATTGTGTGGCTCTGTTGAGCCTTGTGCATGGAAATTTCAAGTGGAAGGCCCCCTGGAGATAGAAAGGCTTAAGCTTCTGAGCAATGATATGACAACACCCCTGTGTTCCCAGAAGCAGAAAAGATTTTGAAATTCATGGAAAACACTCTTCCAGGAACCATCTTACCCCTGAAATATGCACCAGATTTGGATGTAGGCATCAACGGTATTCAAAACTACAACATCTATCCTAACTTTCATCTCCACATTCTTACCCACAATGGAGCAGTGACGGCAGAAAATATCCCGAGCTGGTACTGGACAAAACCTTAGACAGAGAGGAGCAGCCTGAGCTCAGGTTAACACTAGTGACAATAGATGGAGAAACTCCCAAATCCAGTACTGCCCTATTCCTCATTGATATTTTGGACACCAATGCCAACTCCCAACAGTTTTTGCAGCCACTCTACCAGGTGCAGATCCCAGAAAATAATGCCCTGGGATCCCTTATTTTCACTGTTTCTGCTAGAAATTTATTAGATACGGGAATAAATGGAAAAGTGTCCTATTCATTTTTTTTTTCAGGTGTGAAGAGATTACTGGGACATTTGCACTCAATTAACTCACTGGAGAAATTAAAGTGATTGGGAACCTATATTTTGAAAAAATAAGGTCATATGAGGTAGATAGTAAGGGTTCTGATGGAGCAGGTCTTTCTGGAAAACGCAGTTCTAATTCAAATGTGGATGTAAATGACAACATCCCAGAACTGACAGAGGCTTCACGTATAAATCACATTCCAGAAAACGTCTCTGAGATTACTAAAGATCTTTTCAGTATTCAATACCAAGATTCTGGAGAAAATGGAAGGATGATTTATTAGCTCCAGGAAGATGTTCCTTTCAGACTGAAATCTTTCGTTGATAATTTCTACAAGTTGATAACAGAAGGAGCACTGGACAGAGAAAGGCAAGCCGAGTACATCACGGTCACGGACATGAGGTCCTCTCAGGCTGCAGACCCAGCACATCATCACAGTGCTGGTGTCCGACGTCAACAACAACGCTCCAGCCTTCCGCCCAAACGCCTACACAATGCTGGTGCGCGAGAACAACAGCCCCGCCCTGCACATCGGCAGCATCAGCACCACCGATGCCCAGCTCACCTACTCGCTGCTGCCCAAGCACCAGCGACACTTCAAGTTTCTGAAGTCTGTTGACCTCAAACACTAGAGTTCTGTCAAAGATGTGTCGGTAAACTTAAACTTTGTAAGTGATTTGGGGTCTGTTAGTAATTTGTTGATTTTTTTCAGAGCCTTCAGGATAAAGATTCAGTCTTACCTAATACCCTAGGTTCCCAGCATTTTTTAATAATTCATATGGAATTTCTTAGTTTTTTTTTCCCGATTTCATTTTCTAGTTGGGAGATTAGAAATTGCCCTTGTTTATAGACTTACATACTCGGTGTATTTTTATCACTTCCATTTTCCACTTTCAACTTGGTTTCATTATTGAAAAATCATGAATATTTGTTCAATTTATCAGTTTTCAAAGTCAAAATCTACTAATTTGAATATGACTCCATTCCCATTCTGTCTTCCAAAACTTTTCTTATTTTTGATGCTTATGGTTACTTCAGGAAAAAGCATGATGCAAATATTATTATTACCGCATCTTATGTTCAATTAGACATTAATCTTTTTTTTTTATTACCTTTTGACCTCCTTAATCCAATTTTCCACCTCCCACCTAATACCCCAAACTCTGGCAGACCCAATCTATTTCCTGTGTCTGTGAATATATTTTGTGTGCTTCCTTTCTTTCTTTTCTTTTTTTATTTATTACAAAGTTTATTTTTACATCATTTTGCACTTATTTTTTTCCATCTCGATTGTAATCCCCGCAGGTTTCCCATCACCAAATCACCCCTGTGCCA